ACGCAGTTCTACTTAGCTTTCAGACATACCTCTAATGCTGCAGTATTTGCACTAAGTGGAAGAAGAAAAATGCCCCCTTTTTAATGGTCTTCGTTGTCATATAGTCACCTCACCACACATTTGGCAGTATATGACAGCTTGGCACTGGCAATATTTTCACTTTAAATAATTTTTGAGCAATGAGTTTTGATGACGTTGTGAAATGCTTGTCTCATGTTTTACACTAATGTGGGTAAAACATTCAAGAAGCATCCAAGCACAAAAATAAAACGTGCTAGGTTCTGTCCAAGTTACTACTGAGATTAGCCTAGTGCAATGATCACTTCTGAGGTCTGGAATAGTACCAGGGAAATTAGACTCACTTTGTCTTAAATATTTGTGATATTGAGCTTATTCTAAATGTCTGCACCTTCTGCTTCACTGCTCAGAACAATCGTGTTTCTTGATTTTTAACAAGCAGGAGGAATTCACCAATAAGATGGCAGTAATATTCAGCACTTTAGCACTTTTCACCTTCACATTGTTGTACAGATATTGAATAGTTTTCTTTAAACTCATGCAAAAAAAAAGTGAATGGGAATTGAGGAAAACAATTTTATAGCATTAATGGAACTTTGCTGACTACCTGTCCTTTATGCCTTTGAAACACACCCTTTCCTGTCATTATTTTTCTGATGAGAAAGTAAGATGGCCAAATCATGATTTTACCTCATGTGTTTAATTAGTCTGTAGCAAGCTCTGTTTCCTATTCTGGTGTTTATCTGCATCCCAAGTGTTAATAATCACTGGACTTATCATATTTGTAACAGCAGAATGTATTTCCCTGTGTAACTTAGGGTCCTATTTATGGCATGCACTATCCAGATCCTGAAATCGGAATTTTTCTGATGCTGATGTGGTCTGAAAGTGTCACTGGAGATAGCTCTAAAATAAAAATTAAATTATTTAAACTGTTCTTAAAAATTGACTATTTCCATTCAAAAATAGACTTAATCAGCTGACTGGAAAAAAGATCCATTACTGTCATAGAGAAAGCCCAGCAGAGATTTTGATTCTGTCCTCTATGACCCCAAAAGGCTAAATATGAGAGGTGAGCAGCTAACTGAGGATATAAAACACCCAAGAGAAGAGGAACTGCTTTTTCAGATATGCTTTTATCAATTGTGCAGAATGAAAAAGAGAAGGTATTGGTATCCAAGCCTGTCAGATAAGCACCATTTGAAGATTATTGAGATGATTATTTTTAAAAATTGCAGTAAAAATCACAAAAAGTGAGTTACAGCTCAATGCCTTGAAGAACTGCCTGAGCAAGTTATGCATAAGCAAACTTAGGCATATGAAAGCGTATAGTCACGTTAGCATGATTGGCATGATAGTTATCTTGTGGGACAGTGAGACTTTTACTGGACTATACTGCTGATGTCCTCTTCTTAACAGATAATATTCTGCAAAGATCCTGCTACATTTAGCCTTTCCTCCGATACTGCCCATTGCCTGGGGAAACCTATCTAATATGTTACTGAGCTGCAGAAGCTTGCATAGATCAAAGAGATTTTGCTGAAAGTGGAACTTTTCTCTTTGATGAAAGTTTCAGGGCTTGCAGGATGCAGCATGGTATCCTGTAAGATGGCTGTGATTGCCTAAATACATGGAAGAGCAAAACTCCTCAAAATGCATCTTTTTTCTGACTTTCCTGCTTCTCCTACCTCTATCAAATGGAAAATCTAGGTGAAGCAACTAGCAATGCATTCATTTTGCATCACTTCAGTTGGCACTCAGCAGATGCAGATGTTTTCTGTGGTTTATTTTTGTATATATCTGCCTCACAGCAAGACTGAGCACGAACAGAAGTTGATGCTGTTCATCAAGTGGAAAATTAGGAATGACAACATGTGAGCTTTTTAATAAATCTAGAGCTTTCAATTGGACACACAGAGGTTCAAAAAGTAGTTGTAGTCTGAGAAGAACTGAAAGGAGGAGGTAAGGATGAGCGTGCTTAGGTCTGTTGCTCAAGGTGCTTGCATTAACTTCTAAATACATATGCATATACATCTCCATTCGTTTTATAGCTGGGTCTGCTGCCAACTTGCAAAAGTGTGCTTTACACAGCCCACAATGTTATCAAAGTTGTAAGCTTAAGTATGGTTATGGTATAAACTTAAACCTGGCTCTTAATTTGGAACGTTTAGAAAAAAGCATTGAAGTCAGCTCTTGTATCATTTTCATTTACTAATGGAGTAATCAACATCTGCAGTGCATGCAGCCACAAATTCTTTCAGTCAATAAAAAATGTGCTCAAAAATTCTCTTGTCTGAGATCTATAATCTCATTTTAATTAGCATTGCATATGATTACTCCAATCAAAGTAAGTCAGTGGCAAACATTGCCATCTGCATTCATCGTTGACATCAACTGGCACAACAGCAATCTGTGGTTTTACGTTAATACATGGGCTCTGAGGTGCTGATGTCTGTTCAAGGGCAAAGTACACTGTCCCCCCTTTCCTTCTACTGTTTAGCTTTTGAAACTCAGCTTCTATCTTAGAATTTTACAAATATTGAGAATTCCCAGTGCAGCACATGTTTTACTTCAGCAATGTGACACTCCTGCATATCCTCTGTAAAGGAAGATATTGTCATTAGTTTTGAGTAATTTAATTGTGCATGCATTCGAGACTGTATCATACCTGCCCAGTATTCATCATTGTTCCCAGCTCTGTGGTTAGGGTTTTAAGATGCTGATAGGCTTCCATGGTAAGGCTCACAATTATTCACTGAATTTCTAAGATGGCTTTGTTTAATACAGCTAGATGATCTAGAAAACCCAGAGAATTGCATACCGATAAAGGCAATAGAAACAGGATGATATATTCTAGTCTGTTAGTATGTGCACTGAAATTTCTCCAGAGATGAGATATCATTAATTAAGGAAAGGTGGTTAACTAGATACTTAGATGTCAGGACACACTAGCTCTGGATAGATGTGGTTCATCATATGCCCTCATCAAAAGCCTTATTTGACAAGGCAGCAGATGACTTCCTACCATTAAGAATCCTTTATGAATGTGACTTTTACTAAGATTTAGCCAAGTTTTTAAAGGATCTCCATTGCTAAGCCAATAAAAAGTTTGAAATGTTGCTTGCACTCCAAGAGCATTTACCAAGAAAAGCGGAAGCATATTCAAGCTCAGGGATTAGCTAAAGTTCAGAAGGATTATTTACTCTCTTCCTCCTTAGAGAAAGGAATTATCTGGGCTTTTCTGAAGATGTTAGTGCATGACCATAAGCTCTTTAAAAGAGGACGTGTTGCAAATGGCATTTTTCCTCTTTGTGAATCAGACATTTAAAGCAGAGTGAGTGTTTAGGAAAGCTTTTAAATGATACTAGTTGCATAGTTAGAACTCTGATAACTATTTTTTAAGTTCTTCTCATCATGAGAGGTAGCCTTGAGTGTTTTAAATCTGCCCATAAAACTGCTATAATCATTCTCTACAATTACACTACAATGCACAGCAATTAATTATATCAAATCCTTCTCACAGAAGTGTTTACTGGTGAAGATTGCCAAGACATTATTTCTGACAATAAAAGAGTAGGAAATATTGTACATGTCTTGGGACTTTACTGGTCTAATGTTTCTGTACTTAGGATTATAATCATACCATTTTCCCTATATGAATTTCTCTATAGGAAAATAAACATCTGTTCTTGTCAGGGATGATCTTTAAATAATATTTTATATGGGAGAAATATTCCTGTGTATTTTCTCTGGTAAGAAAGAAAGATCTAGATTTTTAGCTGGATAACCCTGGCTAGTGAGCAGTACTCGCATACAGTCTAACTGGAATTAGTGAAGCCTCAGGGTCCCAAGCACACTCCTCTTCCTCTCTCTCTCCCTCTTGCACACATGCAGATTTGCAGGTTCTTGCCCTCAGAAATAGGCGGTATGTTTACACTGCAGACAGGTGATGTAGGGGCGTGGGCCTGGATGAGGCTGAGTTTTGGTGTCACTGTAGCTTGGTGGCACAGAGCTCAGCGTGGGCGAAGATCTTTCCCAGGGTCTGGGCTGAATCCCTAGGCAATTAGTTCATGCTGAACTGCCTCTAGCCATAGCTTGATAGGCAGGTACCTTGGAGCTAGTTCTCAGTTTGTGTGCGTGGAGTCCCCTCATGTATGGGACTCCAGCACAGGCAGAGGTCCACTTCTCACCGGTGGAAAACGCCACTGACATCAAAGGAAACAGCTACGGCTACACGGGCAGGTACTGCAGCACAAGGCCTGTCAGTCTGGGTAGTGAAACTGTTGGTGTAGAGGACCTGGGGTCCACTCCGCATATAGTTTGAGGCAGTATATGCCAGACTCGCGATAGTCTGGTCAGTGCATCTTTCAGCGTAGTTCAAATTTCAGGAATCCGATCTGTTCAATTTAACGTAGCTCCAGGACATGAATCAAAGCACTGTGAGTGGTAATAATCAGGAGACGCGTTTTGAAAGCTCACTTCTAGTCTGAAGTAAATGCTAAGATAGGTGCATCCATCCGCCAAAAAAAACCAAAAAAAGTATAACCATTTTGGCATTTTGATCCCTTTTATTTCATTTTCACAGTGCACCCCAGGCTGCCCAACCTGAGCACAGGAAAGTGTGAGAAAAGAATAATCCTCACAATCAAAAATTGCTGTTGACAAGATCACAAGGGAGGTTTTGGGATGCCAGATATGTTTACTAGATACTCTGAAATGGTGATTACTCTGTAGTTTGTATTAAATAGAACAGTTAATAGGGTACTTCACTGCTCAGTTTCTCTTAAAGACAGGCAGATCAGATGAAAAATGTATGTTGTAAAGATTAACTTCTAAGAGGAAAGTTTTCCGGAGAACAAGATCTATCCCATTTCAAAGGAGTAAGGGTTAACTGGAACTTAAAATATGAGAAAATAGTCGGAAATAAATGCTTCCAAAACTGATGTATTTGCCTTTCTTCATGTCTTTATTTCCTTTCACAGAGCCATGTTTGACTATGACAAGAGCAAAGACAGTGGCCTGCCAAGTCAAGGACTCAGTTTTAAGTACGGAGACATCCTTCATGTTATCAACGCATCGGACGATGAGTGGTGGCAGGCAAGGAGGGTCACTCTGGAGGGAGACAGTGAGGAGATGGGAGTTATACCCAGCAAGAGGAGGTGAGTGTAACCTCTTCCTTTCTACCTTCTTTGGTCACATTACAAAGTTCCCATTTCATTCCAAAGACAGATACATCAGTCTACTGGAAAAATAGGGAAAGTCGAGGAAAATCCCACAGACATTATTCCAACAGTTAGAAGATATGGTTTTCACTGAGACATTTAAAAAGCTCGAGCTGTTTAACTGTATTGAAAAGAAACTGAAAAGGTGACATGATTTGTATCTTCACAGAGAAAGAGAGGGAGAGAGAGAGCACCATCCACTTAAGGGCTTTAGCAGAGAAAGGAATAACCGGAACCCAAGCCTGGGAATTAGCTCTGAATTTGAAGCAGAGCACATGTTTTAATGTCAGGGTGATTCGCCGTTGCATCAAACTGCTGAGGGATGTGATGAATGTCTTGACATTTTCAAATCAAGACTGTATGTCTTTCTTTTGCAGGAGTAATAGAATTAATCTTCTGAGCCTCTGTGATGTAGAAAACCAGGCTAAATTATATAATGATCCTTTTTGGCTTCACAGTCTGTTAATTTAATCTCTGCCTGCCTGGAAATTGATTGATAATCAATATCACAGTAAATTTTCCATATAATGTAAATGAAGGAACATTCCTTCATTTTCCAAGCTAAATCTGAATCCTTATTCAGCAGTGATGGATTCATGCTGACTGGTGGAGAGAAAATATATGTCTGAATCTTTCTCATTGTCTGTATTGTTTACTTTGCCTTGTCGCTTCTGTGAAATCAGCCACTAGTCTCTGGTAGTATCAGGACTACCACACAAGTCAGTATTAGTTTGTGCCTTTGTTGGTAGTTGCTATAGAAAGGTCACGAACTGAAATGGTAGGAAGAAAATGAAATCTGTCAAACCGCATTACATTCCTCTTTTGCAGCAATGCTCCCGTACTGCATATAAACGTTCTATTACTAGCGATTTCAGTTTTAGCATTAATATAAAAATGATCGTGCACATTTTTTATAAAGGGAAAATGGTATGTGTGATGCTGTGCAGAGCACCTGCTGGTGTTTCAAGGAGAGCTGGCCCAGGTGCTAATAGAGCTCATAGCACCTCTTGATCTAAATCACATAAAAGTAAACTAAAGGCCTTCAAATACGTTATTAACGTGAGACTTACAAGGACCTTATTTTCTCTAATCATGGCCATGTCTGAATAACAATCACACCAGGATTTTCAGCAAAAAGCAATTTTGTAGTTCTATAATAGATAGAAATAAAACAACTTTATAATTTTTACGATGGGAGAAATGTGCCCATTAAACAAGTATAGTTTCTAGATATTGAAAAAGGAATCCTTTCCTAGTATTAATTGCTATGGTAAGCCCTGTTGTAATGACATGATTGGATCACAAGTGGGAAAAGAGGACAGCCTATTCAATTATTATTGAAGGAGGTAAGTGCACAAACCTTGCTCATTCTCTAGTGCCTACCCTTAAAAGCTACAACAAGCTTTCAGACATGGTGAAACTTCTATAAGGGAAAGAAGGGCAAAGCAAAACGACTGACTAAGAGGTGGAGCTGTATCTTCTGTAGATGGGAGAGGATGCAAGTGCCTACAGTTTATTAGCTTACCTGCATGGTAGTGTTTTCAAGAAGGACAAAAGATAAAGGCTCTCTAGTCAAGGTCAGACAAATGATACAGCCTGGGAAAAAGATATGACTTGAGAAACACTCTGAGAAAAGAGAGAGAAAAAAAGAAGAAGCAGAAGAGAGACAAGGTGAAAATAGGTTGGTTGGAGTCTAAAAATAAAAGGGCTTGAATTTGTAAAGATGCAGGAATAGTTACCGTGCTCTCCATTCATCATCCCACTTCTTTACTAGTGAATCTGCGAGGTGTGGAAAGATCAGCAGCAACTGCTTTTTTGTCCGATTTAATGTAGCGGAATGATATACCTGAGTTTGTAGGAGAAGTTTTGCTAGTAGTTCGGAAAAGGCTCCAGTTGTACAAGTTTATTTTTTTCAATGCAGTGAACAGTGAGTATTACTTCCTTAGATTCTGGCTGGTCCCCAGTGAGCCAGTGAGACTGATATGCTGTTGTCTGCATCTTCCGTAGTCGTTTACACCACTGCAAAATACAAACCAAACCAGAACGCCTCTACCAAGAGGAGAACGAGCAATGACTGCATACAGGGCTGAGCTGCAGAGAATAAAACTCAACATAATTTCCAGTATATACTAATTCAGAGTTGAATTTCTTCTGTAGATGTGGGTTACTGAGCATGTGAGGCCTGATCACAAGTAAAGTCAACCTGGGATTCATCTGACCAAACACAGGCATCTTCAGTGTTGAAATCTTTGTCTAAAGTGGTTACTCCAGGCTACTGCACACTTTGGTATCTGTTACAGTTTTTATAGCACTGTTTCTATACACATTGCATTATATGTAATGAGGCATATTTAAAATCTAGCAGTATGATATTCCTTGTGATGGAGCCGGAGAAAAAGGGCATTTGCTGCTGTTGGGCTGTGACCTATTCTGTGAGCCCAGGTTCCTATAAGTTTGTAGGCTGAAGGTTTTTTATGTTTGTCTTATACTTTTCAATCCCCTATTTATTTCAGTTGCTTTTCCTTAGGGATATATCTGTGTATTTTGTGCTTGGATTTCTTCCTTTTCTTAGGCATATGTACAGGAATATTGTTCAGTGGAACTGCAACATTTTTTGCGCTTTGAACAGCTGGCAGGGCATACTAATCCATGGATTATTAATGCAAGGGTGAGTCTTTTGGCTCTCTGGCTTGCTGCCTAATCTGCAGTCCAGCATCAGCTAATATACAATTCCTATATTTTTCATAAGTGGAATCCATATGGAGTAGCCTTGAAAGCCATTGACCTCTTTGATTTTCTCCAGTGTAGACATATATATAGAGACACACACGCATACACATATATATGTATTTATATATGTATAAATAGATGCATATGCAAATATACATGCACATATGCCTGTGTACATATACATATAGATTTATGTACATACACAAATATAAATATATGTATACTCACAAAACAATTTCCTTAAAGCAGTGTATATGGAAAACCCTTTCTGAGTATCTGATTTTGCATTCTTTTTATATCTTTTCTGAGCAGAACCCTTCAAATAGTGACATTACAGGATGAGCTGATAAGAAAAATTTCATATAATACATCAAGATTCAATACTCTTCTCTCTTGCATGATGTATGTGGTATACCAGAAGAAATTATAATTTATAATTACAGGGAAACGGGCACTTATTATTCTGTCCAGCATGTTGGATATGTTACCAGCCTTTACCTATCATTAGTTCAGTAGAGTTTGGAAGATATTTGTAACTAGATTTCAGTGTTGCCACCCATGTGTGGACTTATCTTGTTGATAATTGTAAAGCCAAGCTTTAAGAGTGAAAGATTGACAAGCAGCACAAAGCAGTGAGGGTGACCCCGTGTTTCTCCACCAATCTGTCCCCTCAACGAGGACCAGCTCTTGTGAACTGGTGGACCAGTGACTTCAGTGGGATTAGAGCAAAATAAAAGCTTAGTATCTTGCAGCACTAAAGTATCACTGCAGCCCTTTCTGCAGTTGAAGACAAAATTTTATCTATTTGTCGATATTTGTCGCCTGATTGCAGCTGTGGTTCTGGACCGTGGAACTGAGTAGCCAGCTGGGTAGAAGCCAGATATAAGGCTATAAAGATGTTATCATATAGTATCAGACTGATGTTGGCAACAGTAGGACTTTATCATAAAAAGGTGCAAACCACTTCAATTCTGGTTTAACAGTCAACAAATAAATGTTATTATATAATACTAGTGAATGAACACCGCAGGTCACATTTCTCTTGTTTCACACCCACCATAAAGATTCGTTCAAGTCATGTCAGCTGTTATGTCACACAAAGTCTCCCTGGTACTGTGGCAGGTCTCTGCCCATCCTGTACCGATGTCTCAGCCTGTAGGGCTTATCTGTGCACTAGACACCACTGTTCAGCCATGTGAATTGCTCTCCTAACATCAAAAATTGCTTTATTTTGTAACTGAGTGGCCAACGGAATTAGATTTACATTAGATTTTTATTAGATGTAGATTTATGGATTTAGATTTAGATCTACATTTTTGCATATGCCAGATTTCTGATCACAAGACCTTTTGTTTGCCTCATTATCTTTCCTATTGTCAGGATAGGTAAAATGGATTCTGCTTTCTCTAAAGCGCAGCAGAGCAGTAGTTAGAGAAACCTATGTCTAAGACTTCCTCTGTGTAGAAATACTCACAAGAGTTAAAGTGAATTAAGAGTTAAAGTGAGTTAAAGTGAATTAAGAGTTAAAGTGAGTTAAACCGAAATTGTGAAGTCAACGTGCAGGAGTTGCAGTGTATTAAATTTCTAGACAGATGGTCTAATTCAGGAGTAAAAAAATTTTAATTTGCTATAGCACTGATTTAACACCTCCAGTTTTTTCACTTTCACTTTGCTGAATCTCTCTGCACATAGAGAAGCTCTTAAATTGCAAGCCCCATACAACAGCAACATCCCACTTTATGAATGTCAGGCTTCAGTATTTTCTATGATCTGTGTGTATCTGCTTGACTTGGGTCAGTGGGTCTGAATCTAATTTAGCAATGTCTGCGATTTCCCACAGATTGTCCCAGAACAGACTTGTCCTAAGTTCTCACCGCTTTTGCCTCCACTGTAGCCATTGACAGTTTTGTTCTAAAACGCTAAAATATTCACACTAGTCTTCCTGCTATCTTCAACATGTGCAGCCACGAAATGACTCTCGAGTTAGACATCACTGTGAGATTGACATTTTCAGGTAGTTTAAGTGCATCTCACTGCAAAAGGTTAGGCAATTGCATCTCTGTTATTACAGAGGAAAGGTGGTACCTACCCGCTATTTTTGTCTTCAAACGCACAACAGTCTCCCCGCGAACACGTTTACCCTTTCACACGTACTTCCCTTTCACAGCAAAATGGGAGAAAAATAACATAAAAACTAGCATTTCACA